ACATGTATTAAAAAAATACATAAAATTATACAAAATTATATTGAGAAATTTAATAAATAGGAGTGTTTCGGTCCGGTGCACCGCAGAGTTATGTTAGAATTGAATTTAACTGTGCCATCTGACCAAAAATTATCGCCAATAAAGAAACTACGGATAGTACCGGAGTCTCCCGGTTGTCTCAACCGGTCTTTCGCACTACGAAGAAGCCAAAAAGATCGGCAATTCCGTCATCGGGTAAATTCAGACAGAGTAATTCCAGGAGTGTAAGTTCCAGTGAAGCAGCTAAACTGAATTTGTAAAATTTCATGCTAAATTTTGCATTTCTGGCTTCCAGTCCAATTTTAGTTGCGTTCTGTAGGCCTTTTGCTTGATGTTTGATTTCTTGAGCTCATTTTTCTTGGCACAGACATTTTTTAAAAATGAATTCACTGCGTACAGCTAGCAACACAAATGACCACTGCCCGAAAATGTGTGTGCTAAAAATCTTGACCAATCCTCACCAAAGTTACACGATTATCTCAGCATTCAGGGTCATGGCTTAATGGCGAAGTGCTACTCTTCTGTGATTTACCAGTCCACCTTCTTTTCATCCCTTGCACACTGTCATGCCTGTCTTTTTTTCCTTGATTCTCCTATTTAGTTCATATCTCTGAGGTGACCGGTCCTGACCGCTGGTCCACATCTGCTTCCTAATTTAAGCCGAAAACTGATGTAATATTTAACAGCATTATTAAGGAATTTAGCTTTTTTGACGCAGAAATACAATGATACCATTCGAGCGGTAATAAATACGGCAAATGGATGAATGAGAAACAAAGGCAAGTCCATAAAATAAGCTACTTCTTACCTTAGAACACACGACTGAATCTCGTCCGCACACTATTCTAGGAAGACACCAAAACCACCCGCAAAAGGAGGGTAACGCGAGAAACTGAGACAAATTAGATGCAAAATGACTGAGGGGACCCGAAATTTAGTCCCCCGAGATGCGGGGGCTTTTGAGAGATCGGCTAAAAACTATCAAATGCATTCTGAAATACGGCAGTTCAGTTCAGAATAGCTAAGTTTATTTTTAAGATGCTATAAAATGCGGCACAAAAATGAGGCAAAAAAAAGAGGGTTGTGCATACACCACCCTCTTTTTGAGGACACACAACAGCAGAAGCAGCAAACAGCGCGGGTCCTGTCCGAGAGACACCGGTTACTAACCGTAGAATCGCCACCAACAAACACACACATACACATACAAACATATACATATGAACAAGACAGAATAGGCATTCTGCTGAAAAGAGGAGGAAATGGGGGCGATTGTGGTAGGGCAATGGGGGAGGGAGTTCGACTGAGCACCTTCACCACAGCGGGGATGTTTTGCCGGTCGATTCCCCGGCTGGTGTGCCGATGGCCCCACTCTTCAGGATGTTGGTGCACAGAGAAACCCTCCCATCCACGAATCAGAGGGGTGCACACACCCCCCATCCCTCCCTGGCGAATCAACACACTCCTTCTCCCACTCCTTTCCTTCAGCAGTGTTTGGAGGAGGAGGAGGGAGGAGCAGGGATGCGAAGAGGGCAAGGGGAGGGGAGCAGCTGGGAAGAGAGAATCGATTGTCGTTGGAGAGCACCCCCTTCCCCCTCTCCCTCGCATGCCTCCTCGCTCCGACAAAACTATGCTTCGATGTTAGCCGCCCGTAAGTTGATAAAATTCTCTTCACCCAACCACGGGGGGGAGGGGTCGAAGCTCAGCCCGTGCTTCCTACCTCCCTTTGCACTCCACTACTCAGGATCAATCCACTGTTTGTGTAGCGCCGAACAAAACTGAAGCATTTTTTATCGTGAGAAATTTTATAATTCCGTCAAGTAGCTCGCTGTCCCGGATACATCCCGGGGCTACTGCTGACTTCCCTAGGCAACAATAGTCATTCGTCCTTTTCCTTTCTCCTTCTTTTCCCATTACCCAAATACAAGTTTTGACAGGCACTGAAAATAATTTGAGACCGCAACCATCGTACTGACGAGGTCCAGTTGTGATACTCAGCAGAAAGATATACCATTTCAGGGACCGAAATATTCCTGTTTAACAGTTTAATTTCAATTCCAATTTGGTGCTATTTTCTCAAATTTTAGTAAAATACACTTCTAAATCAACCGAATAACTCTGGAGTCTCACCCCCTTCGTGATATCCACTGGGGTGCCTGATCCACTTCAGTACTTCTTAGAATGCGGCAGGCTGTAGTTCCCTGAATTCACCAAATCCTGTTCTTATCTGTTTTCAAGCCTTCGAAACAAACGCCACTTGTTCATCCAGCGATCGTTCACCGTGAAATCAAAGTGGCCCTGGCACAAGGCAGCGAGATTCAGAGCCTCTTCATTAAAAAAATCTTTTTTTTTTGTAGCTCAGTACGTCGAATATGGCATTTCTTTTGAACTGCCCCATCTTCGAAGCTAATATCCCCTGGTAATTAACATGATCCACACAGCCAACTTTAATCACTCTGTGTGTATGTGTGCATGTGTGTGCGCGCATGTGTGTGTGTGTTTTCCTTATCTCACTGATGAAAGCTTGCACCCATCTGGCTAAATTTTGAATCCTTCTTCTTTCCTGCTAAATTTTGTGCACCTCTTGATAAATTCTATACTGCTTCACTCAGTCCCTCGTATTTTTTTTCTTTTTTTTTATTCTTCTGTTGTGAGAAAAAGAGAAGGGAAAGCAGTCATCTTCCTCTCCAAAGCCATTTTATATCTGCACACGTCACTGCACCAACAGCTTGAGATGAAACATGACAAAATAAAACGAAAATGATCATTAAAAGATGCAAAAAATGAAATGTTAGAAAGCAGTGAGCGAATGAAAGGTTTCCGCTTACCCTGTCACAATGTACAGGTCAAAGACTGTTTTAAATGCGTGGAAAGATGCTTCATTTCTTAATTTTTTCATATCTATTTCTTAAATTGTTGCTAAAAAAATATTTCTGCTGCTTAGTTACACTAAGAATCCAAACAGCGAAAAATTACCGCTAAAGATCTACAGGCAACCGCCAGAAAAACTTTGTCGCTTATCGCAACTTTAACAGTTTAGGTTCAAACTAGTGTGTGTGTATGTATGCATGTATGTGTGTGTATGAGTGTGTGTATGAATGCATGTGTGTGTATGTGTAACAGACACCTAGTTATAAACACGTAAATTTATAATTAAACTACACAACAAAATATTAGTTATGCAAAGTAAATTAAATTAGGAGAGGAAGAATGTCTCTGGGAAGCCGAAGCTTCTTAGCACAGGGTGAACGAACCTGTCGAATGAACAAAGTAGAACAACACACTGGAACCTGGAGAGGAGGAGTTATAGTCGGTTGACCAGAGATCAAAGGGACTTCATAACCCAAGAAGGGGTAGAGTGTCCAAAGGTTAAATAGGGGACCAGGGGTGTTACATTATAATGGCGCAACGGCTTTTTACGAAATTTTAAGAAATTATTACATGATATGCTTGATTTTTCCGCATTTATTTGTAATTTCTACACTGATCCTCAACAATCACCCGTCGGTCGCACCGTAGCTTCGTGACGAAAAAAAGCTTCAGGAGCTCGTTTAACGAGTTTTTTTTTTAGTTGCATATTCCATTAAGCACAGGAATTACAACAGTTCAGTGATCACTTCATGAGCTTTAGGAGTTTCTACATTCACTTCAAGCGAGCAATTGTGGACAAAAACACGAGACCTATTTTACTAGCACTTTCGCATCGGCTGACTGTGTACCTCCGGTTTTTACCTTTTTTACCGTAATTTGTTATATCTCCCACAGATCTGCCTTTCGAGCCGCCATTTGCCTCTTGAACCTTTCGGGCTTAATCCGGCATGTCCTTTGGTAATTGCCGTTAAATAACGTTATTTTCAGACTGAGGACGATCGACTGGGTCACTCGGAGCAGTTCGACCAAAATTTACTAATTCATCCCGCTAGAACATTGCCATCGGATCGCATCCAGGAAACAGAATTACTTTCAGCCTATTTCTTGTGGAAACCTCACAAGACTGAGTCACTGTCCAGTCTCGTTAGCACACATGACGTATACTTACGTGTGTGTGTGCTACCAGTATGAATGCTTCCGCGAGTTTTCTCGTCCCTAGCACAGAGTGGAACATGACGATTTTGAACATCTCATCATTTTGACGCCCATTTTAGACCATCCTACATAAAAAAGAGGAAATTTCGTGTGCCGCTTCGCTGTAGGCGTGATGTTGGCAGCAGCAGTAGCAGTAGCACTGCACTACTTATCATTGTTTAAAGTCGACTTCTATCAATACAAAAATAGTCATTGGCTTGTAAATTCATTTTTCATGCATTAACTAAATGCAGCCATTATACACAGCCAGGTAGGCACTGTATGACAACACTGTATGACACACGTTACTAAATTATATTATTACCACAGTCGTCGTACTGACGAGGTCCAACTGTGGCAATGGCAAGAAATGTATACGACTTAATGGACCGAAACATTTCTTACCAACTTTAATAATTCTTTACAACTCTTTCATTTTTTGTTCCTATTTTCTCCAAAACCTTAAAGAGATGAATGGTGTCCATAACGATTATTAAGAACATCCACCGAGGAAGCGCCCAACCAGTTTCCCGAGAAAGTAAAAATTGGCGAAAGTGAACATCGAATTTAGTTCTACCAAAACTGCTTGAATTTGCAGTTAGGTTACCGCTGTTTGTGATGTTACTAGGATGCTCCCACAGGCCAAGCGCAACTATGTCGAGTTATATAGAGAAAAAGTCGTTAAGGTCTATTGAAAGCTCTGTATTACATTTAAGAGCGAAGCAAACGCATCCAGAAAATGCCTATTTTTATGCAAAACCATAAAAAAGATACACTTTAACAAAAATAGATGAAAATGACGCGCCATCCTGCCATCAGTTTGTTGTTGTGAGTGCTCGATGAAAGACAAAACTGACGTGTGTTTGAGCCCACTGGCATAACTCCGTATGCTAATATCAATGATCCAAAATCCTTTGTCGTAGGATATCCTTCAGTCCATCGATATCCCAGTTCGGGATATCTTTGGTGCGCAAATCCAAATAAACCGCTTTTTTTATTTCTGACAAAAGTGCGCCTTTCGTACGTGCGCCCGTTTCCCTGACCAATTCGCCGATGCATCTGCGCAGATCCAGTTCCAGCTTCTTCCACTTTTCATCTGCTGCCGGCTGCACCGTGCTCTGAGTTTCCCGGACTGGACGGCTAAGGGCGGTTTCCCGTTGCTTACGGATTTGGGCAGCCAATTCGTCCAGGCTATCACCTGGTCTGTAGATGAAACTCGGCTCATTTTCAGCTGGCAGCTCCATGTTTTTGTTGATTTTCGCGATCACCTGTTCCGGGATGCGGTATTGCTCCGGGCGCTGTGCATTTTGTGCGAGCGCCAAATCGAGGGGCACATCCACCAGAACAACCATATAAGCTAAGTGGAATGTGTTGGCCATCCTCTTGAACGGGCGTCTCATGCTTCTCAGGTAAAATATATCATCCACCACGGTTACCCGCGATGATTCTCCGCGGCATGCCTGATTTCTCAAGAAATCCCGTACCCGGGTTTCACATCTTTTGCGCTCACTGTGAGCTGACGGGGTGCTGTCCAGGCCGTATAGATGGAGTATGCCGGCATGCGCATATTCCTTGCCCCAGAGATGCTCCATGAAGCCATCATCGTTGAAGATATCGTCAAATGAGAATATCGCGCAGCAGCTCGTCCCAATCCGTTCCTCGAGGTTCTTGCATAGTGTGGTTTTGCCGGCACCAGGAATACCCATCACCAGAACCAGGGCCATTCAGCTGTTGGCAATCCAGGTGCACAAATCGGCGCCCAACTATTGGCTTCCTGAATCATCAGTAGTGCAGGAGCAACGAGGCACAGTTCAGTTTTATGCAACAAGCGAAAATAAAAACCATACAAACGATTGGAATAAGACGCGGTGTGCGCACTATGCGTTATCCCCCAACTCATGTACGAGCAAAATCAAGTGTTTAGAAGCGCTCGAGCCCACACACGAACGCGTGGCACGGAAATTACCAAATCCGGGAACGGGAAAAAGCGACGGGTGCAAATTTATGCTGACATTGCATGGAAATGTGCGCGAAATCGATGTGCCAAATTACAACCACAGATGAACTAGTCAGCAACACAGATCAACATGGCGGGTCGTAATAAACTTGACCGTGCCTAAATACGACAAATTTTTATCGAATTTGCACGAAAACAGGCCAAAAAAAGCAGGAAAAACGGGAAAATTCGATAAAAATGGCTTAGTTCGAAATGAGTCAGTCTTGGCTTTTATTTAAAAATCCGTGAGTAACTGAGAAGACCAAGCACACCAAGACAAAGGTAAATCGACATTACTGCCGGCCTGTGATGAAAATTCTTTTGGAAAAACGCATAGTGGCGGGATGGAGGGGAAAGGTTAACAGTGAAAAAAATATGCAAAAAAAATTGTACGAAACATCTGAGCTGTTACAGCTAAAAAAAACATTGTGTAAGACAAATGAAAATGCAAACAATTCATTTTGAAAACGCACATACACTACACAACGGTGAGTTGAAAAAACTGAAAAAAAGAATTTTACGAAAAATAATTTACTGATAATAAAAATGCCAAAAAAACATTATCATCATCATCATAACGAGAAACAACGAGAATCATTTCTTTCACTGCCATAACCATTTCAAATTTGTTGTCCATTCAGCGGACTCCTGCATCACTCAGTTTGCTCGGCCTTCGACTGAAAACAAACACAACTAATTAAAAGCGGGCAAAACGGTGGCATTAATCAGGAAATTAGAAATTCCGGTCCCCAGATCAAAACAACTTAGCATGCGTCAGCAGAGTGACCAAATATTGATAAAAAATAATTGACCAACGCACTGGCTGTCCGTGCGAAGATGCGTTTTTTGCATAGTTCCCCGCAGTTTTTGTCGCTACCAGCACCGGTTTTCCCGGCAAATATTTCTAGCTAAACAAATTAAAACTGGCCGTCAGTCAGGAAACACCCCTTAAAATTTTATCTTTCAAGCTTTCCTGGCTTCTGATTAGCAATTTACTCAAAAAAAAAAATTTCACGGGCCCATACGTGGGTAGCACGCCTATCCGGGAGCTGGATTTGAGCTCATTAATACCCACTTGGATGGGGAACGTCCCAATGAAATTTCAGCTTTCTAGCTTCTCAGATCCCTGAGCAAACACACACAAACAGAAAAACACACAGACAACCTCTCGTCTATATGCATTTTCCGCATTGCATAGCTGCAAAAAACGAATAAAAAGAGGTATAAATATAGCAGCGATAGCGTCTGAAGCACTTTTAAGAGTACGTAAAGAAGATGAGGACGAAAGGGAAATGCCAAACTATATTGGATAGAAAAACTCGTGCAAAAATATCCAGGGAGGTGGGGAGGGGGACGAACAGGGAAGGGGGCAAATCCTACGCAACTAGAACTTATGCCTGTGCGTGCATCAAACCAACGTTTTTCTAATTTCAATCCTCTCTGCTCAATCCCCCCTCTCCCTCATTCTTGATAAGTTTTGCAAATTATGACCCAATTTTTGACACTTTTTTCTCCGCTACTAACAATTTTGCAACCACTCCGCACAGCAGGAAATGAAAACAAATTCGTTTATTTTAAATACTTCTAAACTGTAAGTAGAGGCAGTGCAATAAGGCAGAATAATGAAAAATTCGAAAACAGCTGCACGGATTTTTAGGTATGAAAAATGCCACAAAAATTATGCATTGCTATAAAAAATAATGCCTATCTCGAATTTAAAATTTTATTACTTATCATACTGCTTAATAACCATCCTCAGCGCCACAGGATACCGTGCTTTAATCCTTTCTGGCATGCACGAGGAAGGGCGTCAGTTGGGATGAAGGTGATGCATTATGGAGTCGCACGGACATCAAGGTGCATGATTACCGGTTTTTTGCATGAAGTCCAGTCGCTATTTCGGTAAATGTTATTTATGTATACTTGCCTACAGGAGCATATATATGCGTCAGACAATTACGCATCCACATTTTTTTCTTTTAAATGGATTTGGCAAAATACTTAGAAAGTAGAAAAATGCTTACTGTAAGAAGCCACTTCAATTTCGGCTGGCAATTCAGTCACATTCACGTCGAATCGATCCTGTACGTCATTTAGAATTTTTGCATCGTTCTCATCCGATACAAATGTTATTGCCAAACCTTTGGTACCAAAACGTCCAGCACGAGCAACCTGAAAACGCCCATGGGCTTCTTTCTGGACTCTAATAGTTTGAATAATCAAAAAAAAGCTCGTTATCGACAATTACAAGTACAAATCTCCTGCAGAATACAATTTTCGTGAGTAGCATTCACTTCAATATCTAAACAGAGACGAGGAAAGAAGGACTAACTCTGTGCAAATAGGTATCCGAATCTTCTGGCATATCGTAGTTGAAAACAATATTCACGCGTTCAATATCCATACCTCGGCCGAACAGGTTCGTTGCAACCAGGATACGCTTCTAATTTACGAAAATCATTAAAAATTTGGAAAGAAAACCATTAAAAAAGACAAAATTCTGGGTTTTTTGCGTGCCTCAGCGGTAGTGACGAATATTGAAAATTTTCATCAACATCAAAACATGATCAGTATCATCATCGGCAACTGCAAAAAGTGGCATTCGGCGGCAGAATGGGTTCCAACAGAGTAAATCACCTGGAAATCTTTAAATTGCTGATAACGCGCAAGGCGTTCCTCCTGCGGCATATTGCGATGTATTGCTATACTTGGAAAATTTTGCTCCGAAAGTAACGTGTGCAGAGCACCACAACGTTGCACAGATCGCACGAATATTACAACCTGCAACGAAAAAAATTCGCTTTTTTCATATTTTTATTAAAAATATGGAGCGCTTTAAAAAGACTAGAAGCTTGTTCAAATGCATCCCTCTCTCTCTCCACTTTTGTCAGCAGTGCTTTATATATGTAAAAGAGCTGAGGAAAACTGTTACTTTTGCCATTTTTCTTTCAAAAATTTGTTCAATTATTAATGCCTCTGTTGCATCATGACTCCCTCCTAGATAGGCATGTAATGGCATGAAGCTACCTATTATAAGATCATTGCTTTTGCGTTAAAGAATAGTGCAGTCCAGTATTGTGCACTGTCTTGTTACGGTGGACTGCGCGGCGATAAAGGACCCTGCTATCCGACCTCTTTTCAGGAAGCCGACAATACAGCTTGACACGTCGGAGCACCAGGCCAGTTGACGGACCGTCGAGCCACAACCCAACATTTCACTCAGAAAAAAACCCCAAATAGGCTCCAAAATTATGAAATTTCAAATGAATACTTATATGCATAACTGACACCAGTCTTGCTCTGTAAATAAAAAAAAATCTAAAAACTTGTTATCCATTTTTTATGCGTTTTTTCCAGCTATGCAATGCAAAAACGCATAATGACGAGGGGTTGTCTGTGTGTCCGTGTGTTTGTGTGTGCGTCTGTCACGCACTTTCATCTCAAGACCTATAAAAGCTGCGAGGCTGAAATTTCGGGAACTTAATCTAAATGCGCATGCCGGTCCCAATCCCCAAAATGGGCACCAACACCCGCGTGTTACCCGCGTATGGGCCCGCCAAAATTTTTCTCGGGAAAGTTCATAACTCGGGGATCTGAGAAGCTAAAACGCTGAAATCTTTGGGCAATGTTCCCC